GTAGTAGTAGTAGTAGTAGTAGTAGTAGTAGTAGTAGTAGTAGTAGAAGTAGTAGTAGTAGTAGTAGTAGTAGTAGTAGTAGTAGTAATAGTAGTAGTAGTAGTAGTAGTAGTAGTAGTAGTAGTAGTAGTCGTAGAAGTAATAGTAGTAGCAGTAGTAGTAGTAGTAGTAGTAGTAGTAGTAGTAGTAGTAGTAGTAGTAGTAGTAGTAGTAGTAGTACTAGTACTAGTACTAGTAGTCGTAGTCGTAGTCGTAGTCGTAGTCGTAGTCGAAGTAGTAGTAGTAGTAGTAGTAGTAGTAGTAGTAGTAATAGTAGTAGTAGTAGTAGTAGTAGTAGTAGTAGTAGTAGTAGTGGTCATAGCAATAGTAATAATAGTCGTAGTCGTAGTAGTAGTAGTACGAGTCGTGGTAGCAGTCGTAGACGTAGTAGTCCCCGTAGTAGTAATCGCAATAACGATACACGTAATAATGGTAGTAGTAGTAGTAGTAGTAGTAGTAAAAGTCGTAGTAGTGGTAGTAGTGGTAGCCGTCGCCGCCGCAGCCGAAGTCTTAGTAGTCGTAGTAGTCGTAGTCGTAGCAGTAGTGGTAGTGGTCGTCGTAGTAGTAGTAGTAGTAGTAGTCGTGGTAGTAGTAGCAGTAGTAGTAGTCGTAGTAGTCGTAGAAATCGTACTAGTAGTAGTAGTAGTAGTAGTAGTAGTAGTAGTAGTAGTACTAGTAGTAGTAGTAGTAGTAGTGGTAGTAGTGGTATTAGTAATATTAGCAGCAGTAGTAGTCGTAGTAGTAGTAGTAGTAGTAGTAGTAGTAGTAGTAGTTATAGAAGTAGTAGTAGTAGTAGTAGTAGTAGTAGTAGTAGTAGTAGTAGTAGTAGTAGTAGTAGTAGTAGTAGTAGTAGTAGTAGTAGTAGTAGTAGTAGTAGTAGTAGTAGTAGTACTAGTAGTAGTAGTAGTAGTCGTAGTCGCAGTATCAGCCGGAGTAGTAGTAGTTGCCGCCGTCGAAGTAGGAAACGTAGCAGTAGTAGTTGAATGGTAACTGTTTGCAGTGGTGGTAGTAGTAGTAGTTATAATAAGCGTGGTAGCCACAGAAGTATTGGTCGTCGTCGTAGTCGTAGTCGGTGTAGTCGTAGTTTTAGACGTAGTCGTAGTCGTAGTCGTAGTATTCGTCGTAGTCGTAGCCGTAGTAGTCGTAGTCGTAATCGTTGTCGTAGTGGCAGTAGTAGTAGTAGTAGTAGTAGTAGTAGTAGTAGTAGTAGTAGTAGTCGTAGTCGTAGTAGTAGAAGTTGTGGTAAGTAGTCGTAGTAGTATTATTATTAGTAGTAGTAGTGGTAGGAGTAATGCTATTACAGTAGTAGTAGAATTTGTGGTTGTACTAGTATTAGTCCGGGTGGTAGTAGTGGTAGTCGTAGTTGTCGTATATGAGTAGTAGCCGTAGTATGAGTAGTAGTAGTAGTAGTAGTAGTAGTAGTAGTAGTGGTAGTAGTAGTAGTAGTAGTAGTAGTAGTAGTAGTAGTAGTAGTAGTAGTAGTAGTATTAGTAGTAAGTAATCGCCGTAGTGTAGCCGTAGTCCGTAGTAGTATGTATAATCGTAGTAGTAGTAGTAGTAGTATAGTATAGTAGTAGTATTAGTAGTAGTAGTAAATAATAATAGTAAAGACGTATTAGTAGTAGTAGTAGTAGTAGTAGTAGTAGTAGTAGTAGTAGTAGTAGTAGTAGTGGTAGTGGTAGTAATCGTCGTAGTAGTAGTCGTAGAAGTAGTAGTCGTAGTAGTCGTAGTAGTTGTAGTAGTAGTAGTAGTAGTAGTAGTAGTAGTAGTAGTCGTAGTAGTAGTCGTAGTAGTAGTAGTAGTCGTAGTAGTAGTAGTAGTAGTAGTAGTGGTAGTAGTAGTAGTAGTAGTCGTAGTCGTAGTCGTAGTCGCAGTGGTTGTGGTAGTAGTAGGAGTAGTCGTGGTAGGTGTACCAGTGATAGTCGTAGTAGTCGTCGTGGTAGTAGTCGTAGAGGTAGTCGCAGTAATCGTAGTAGTAGTAGTAGTAGTAGTAGTAGTAGTAATAGTAGTAGTAGTAGTAGTAGTAGTAGTAGTAGTAGTAGTAGTAGTAGTAGTAGTAGTAGTAGTGGTTCGTAGTAGTAGTAGTGTCGTAGTGTGTAGACTTAGTTAGTAATAGCAAGCGCAGTAGTAAAAGTATAACCCTAGTCTTAGTAGTAGGTAGTAGTAGTAGTAGCAGTAGAATCAGTAGTAGGCAGTAGTAGCAGTAGTAGTAGTAGTAGTAGTAGTAGTTGTAGTACTAGTAGTAGTAGTAGTAGTAGTAGTAGTAGTAGTAGTAGTAGTAGTAGTAGTAGTAGTAGTAGTAGTAGTAGTAGTAGTAGTAGTACTCGTAGCCGTAGTAGTAGTAGTGGTAGCAGCAGTAGTAGTAGTAGTAGTAGTCGCAGTAGCCGTCGGAGCCGTAGAAGCCGTTGTAGTCGCAGTCGTAGTAGTAGAAGTATTCGTAGTAGCAGCAGTAGTAGCAGTAGTAGCCGTATTTGTACTAGTGTTCGGTGTAGTAGTAGTGGTCGTAATGTTTGCCGTGGTAGTAGCTAAGTTGTAGTAGGGGGGGGTAGTGGTAGTAGTAGTAGTCGTCGTGTTATTAATCGTTGTAGTAGTACTAGTAGTGGTTGTAGTAGTAGTAGTAGTAGTAGTAGTAGTAGTAGTAGTAGTAGTAGTAGTAGTAGTAGTAGTAGACGTCGTAGTAGTAACGCAGTTGCAGTTTAAGGGCAATGAAGTTGTACTATAGTAGTGATGTAGTACATGTAGTAGTGATGGAGTAGCCGTAGTAGTAGTAGTAGTAGTAGTAGTAGTAGTAGCAGTAGTAGTAGTAGTAGTAGTAGTAGTAGTAGTAGCAGCAGTAGCAGTAGTAGTAGTAGTAGTAGTAGTAGTAGCAGTAGTCGTAGTAGTAGCAGCAGTAGTAGTAGTAGTCGTAGTAGTCGTAGTAGTCATAGTACTCGTAGTACTAGTAGTTGTATTGGGGTAGGCGTAGTAGTAGTAGTGGTAGTAGTAGTAGTAGTAGTAGTAGTAGTTAGTAGT